GGGGGGGGGGGGCCCTTTTATTATTGATACGAAGTATAAACATTAGTAGCAACACTTACCACTGTGGTTTTTTTCCCAACGTATATTTCCCCTAACTGGACTTTTGTAGGTCGCCCGAATCATAAGTAGGGCTTTAAGCCCGCAAATACGTGTGCGCTCAGTCGACGGACCTTCAAGTAATTCTCTCCCCGCTAATATTATAATGCCCACCCCCAAAATGCAAAATCTTCCCGTTATGGTATATTGGAATATATTGGTAACATTCACTACTATGTGGGATGCGGGGGTTTCACATTAGGGTGAGGTGATTGAGACCCTTAGCCTGCAGCCAAATGTCTTCCGAGAATCCTGAACACCCTCCTACTCTCGATTGGGTCTAGAGGGCCCTTAATGGTGGGTACTTATTAGGCCTAAGAAGCAAAGACTAGTTGGAGGACCTAGGTAGTCCCTAAACCCCAAAGATCCCCATTGTACTATGCGTGCCTATACATATGTACATATATATATANNTATATATATATATACCCCTTTGTAGCCCATACCCCTTAAAACGTCCTTTTCATCCCTGTACATCCTTGTACATCAAAATTACATATAATATATCTCTATATCTCCCTACATACCCCGCCCTAAACCCTAAACCTCATACCCCAATGCAGCCTTGTCTGACATTGAGGCACCTCCGACCTAGCACTGCAATGGTTGATGCCCTGCAGACCGCGGCTCCTTGGGGCTTAGGGTTCAGGGGATCCATAAAATCTGCTGGTTCAAAAGCAGCCCATTTAAGAGGGTTTAGGGTTTAGGNNAAAGGAGAATGAAATGGAAAAGAACATTACCATTGTCATGTTGAAGAAGTTCTGTGTAGATGTGGATGTTTGTTTGGGGTAGCGCAGCCCATTCTTCCCTTGTGTTTGTAGCCCTGAAAGCTTGTAACATGAAATAGTTGACATGCTTTATGTGATTAAGATTTTGCATTTAGGCCTTGCCTTGCCAATCTTGTTGCAGTTCTTTTGAACCCTTAAGCCTGAACCGCGTGGGTATGTCAAGGCGTGCAAAAGATTGTGTCTTTGAGTGCTCAGTTTGCGAAAGCCGTGGTGTCTGTTTGTTTCTGGCAGGGCTCGCTAAACTTCCAACCCTTCTTCATGATTGTTTGGTATTGTCTTGAGTCCAGCACCTGGACGCCTGTTTTCCAGGTTTTGCTCGTTTCGCTGCAGTTGTGCAGCCCTGCTGAAACCCTAAACCCTGAGATCCTCAACCCTACAACCCTAAATCCTGAGGCCCGAAGCTCTCAACTCCAAGGGGATTATCTTGGGACATATATATATATATAAGATAGTATATCTACACGTATACATATATAGATACGTGTATGCATGTAGACAGGTGGTCGAGAGCTTCAGGAATTCAAGGTTGGACAGCTTTGGTTTCAGGGTGGGACGGCCACCCCAATTCTTGGAAAGGCTTCAAACCCTAAACCCTAAACCCTAAACCACCCCAATTCTCGGAAAGGTTTCAATTGGGCTTAAATCCCCGAACCTGGAGTCCCCAAGTCCCAACCCCAAACCCTGAAGTCCAACTCCGCAAGCCCAGGTACATGCGGTTTAGGGTTTAGGGGGTTTAGGGTTTAGGGTTTAGGGTTTAGGGGGTTTGGGGTTTAGGGTTTAGGGTTCAGGGCTAAGCCCAAGGAAAAACGGACAACTCCAACCACAGTCCTCCCAACCTTCACTCGAAACTCCTGACCTGAACCCTCTACAA